GTCTGCCATGAATCTGGTGTAAACAACATTGTGGAGAATCATTGTTCTGATGGCAGAGTGTCAGAAAGAGAAGAAGGTTCTTAAAATGAAACTTAACTTTTTTGCTGACAAACTGTCCAAATTCAATGTTCTATCTTAAATTTAGCCTTGGGTAGACTGGCATTAGAATTAGGTATTGGACATTTTAGTGTAAAATTAGTTTATTTCTGCAATATTTTGCCTAAAACCATCTCAGTTCTTCCTCCAGCTACAGAACAAGTCTCTAGAGGGCCTGAAAAGTTGCTAAATATAACAACAAAGTGGATGATTTGGCAACAGGTCCTTTCTGGTTCCGACCACGCCCCTCTGGGTCTCTTGGCTCCGCCCACTTTGCTGAAACCTTTCCTCAGGGAGTTTAGTTATATTTTAAAGAGACAGAGACCAATTTCAAGGCATTAAATATGATATGGTGTGAGGTCAAATTTGTTTGAAATCATGTTTGGTATATACAGCATTTTCATAACGTCTGAAGCTAACAGTCACTGGACTGTACTATAAAATGGCACTATACATAAAAAAAATCATGATACTTTACCTTTAAAGCTGCATGGTTCTGCTGCTCTGTCGTTGGACGATGAGTCCAGCTGGAGGTGATGTGGTTCTGATGAAGGTGGATTGGTATCAATCTCCAGGCAGATCAGAGGGGTGTGTTACAGTCCGCCAGGAACCCTGTTATTTTCGGGAGGCTCTGTCTGTCAGAAGGTCGTTTGGGCTGAAATGTTTCCACTCAGATGGTTTTTCTCCTCTAAGCGGCTGCAGGTTTTCTGATCTGCTGTCAGCGTGTTGCAGCAGTCATGAAGCATCGCTGCAGGTTCCTCACAGGCGCCGTCGCTTCTCATCCATCACATTTCTCCACTTTGGTTTAAAACTGAACCGATTCTGCTTTTAAAACCTTCCTGGAAGATCTGAGTCCATGTTCTGCTCCATCCTGTCTGCCAGTTAATCACAATATTTCCAATATTTTATTTTTGTCTTTTCAGGCTTGATGGGTTTTACTTGAACAAACCTCCAGATTCAAAATTAATTCCCTGCTTCAGTTTGATCTAAATTAGCTTGTTAAGACGAGTCAAGCCCCCAATTATCTTAAAGTAGAACATCATTAGTAGGTATTAGCCCACTTCAGTTCTCCAGCTGACCTTTGACCTGCCAACTAGAGTGAGAGGAAGCAGGAGGATCTCCAGGGTTAAACTTTAATGAGCATTTCTGATCTTCTCCCTGAGCTCTGCAGGAAACATTCACTAACGGAAACTAATTCATTCACCTTCAGCTGTTCAGCAACAGGATCAGGTTTCCTCTCAGCATGGAGGAAAAACATTTGCTAATGGAGCAACTGGCGCTGGCAAGAGAATCACAGCACTAGCTACTGTTAGCTTTGGAGGCTAGAGGCTAGCATGCCTAGTCTGGTCAACCACTGGACTGCCTTCTTCCACTGCTGCACATCAGCACAGATAGGCTAGCTTTAATATTTGGTAGGCTGGCATTAGCCTTGGATTGCCTAGCATTAGCCTGTCATAGGCTAGCATTAGCACTGGATAGGCTATCTTTAGTTATTCCATCTGTTGGACCCAAACCAGACCTCGGTGTTGTTCCCCAGCTGAGATCAGGTCCAAATGCCACGGCGCCTCACTGGGTGACCTTTTCTCTCCCACCAGGGTCCGTCTGTCCCTTCCCACCTCCTGGTGACCTTTGTGTTTGCTGTGCAGAGCTGGAGCCGGTCGAACCTGCAGCCCTCGGTCAGACAGCAGGAACAACATGAACACAAACTGTTCAGCCTTAAGAGGCAGAGAGAAGGAAGTGAAGCAGCAGAAGTTTCTGGAAAAGGTCAACAGGAAGGAGGTTCTTCCTGGTTCTGATTGGGTTTAAGATATCAGAGCTGCAGCAGTGATCAGATCAGGTCCAGATATTTGAGGATGAGACCATGGTTCTGATCTGAACAGGCACATTTATGCTAATCCGCTAGTAGCAAAATTTTTAAATGTTTAGCGCATTTAGCTTTCTCTAAATGTTTCCAGATGAATTCTAAAGCGCTAATTTACTTTGTTGTTTTCTAAACTGTTTTGAGCTTTTGGTTATCGACTGTTAAGAATTCAAGTGGTATAGTAGACGTTTATGTTCATGCTCTTATTTTGAAGTTGGTGAAGTTCTGTTTCCTCTTCTCATGTTCGGTTTATTGAGCAAATGAGAAGTATACAACACATGAAGGAATGAGGTAAAACAATTAAAACCTACATTTGTTCTGTGTGTTTTCTGACCAAAGCATAATTATGGCCAATTAGGCTAAGAGTTAGCAAAACTCAACAACAATAAAACTGAAACCATGAATGAAAGGTCCAAAGAATCACTTCCTGTTGCCCAAACAATACAGGAAGAAGTGCAATGACATGTTTAGTCACATAGGGGGTGACATGCTATGTTGTAGCACATGTGTTATTGACAGATGGTTGAAATTACCACTTTAGCATTAGCTTCTGCTAAGCTCCATGTTGGTATAGCACGTTAGCAGGGCTAATGCATATGATTAGTGCTTTAGGGTTAGCGTAGCTAGCTTTTTAGCTAGCGGTCGCCTCCATCTGGATTTGGCTGATTTTTAGTCTGTAACGCTCCCTGTTGTTCTGTCTGGGTTCTTCAAGGTTCTGTTAGGCCAGGATGAGTCGTCAGTTTTCAGACGGGTCAGAAGGTCCAAACATGAAACTTTAGCTCCTCCCAACTCCGCCCTGCAGCAGAGGCTGACCTCTGACCCCCAGGGGTCAGTCCATGTGTTTCACACTGAGAGGAACTGACTCTGCATGGAGGTTATGACCTGGAGTCGGCACCAGAACCAGAACCAGCTGGGTCTGGTCTGTCGCCATGAGTCAGAGCTGTGGTAAAAACGAGTTCAGCTCTAACCATGACTCATCAGAATCCAGCCTGATCAGAGTCTGAATCATGACTCATCGCTACTAAGGTCAAGCGATGATTCACTGATGAGTCTGACGACTTGCACCTGAGACGTGATCAGACGGCGCCTCAGAGGTCAGACAGCTCCTCAGAGGTCAGAGGTCAGACAGCTCCTCAGAGCTCAGCCTGCTCATCAGAGGTCAGGTTGACCTTCGTCTCCAGCCTGCTCGTCATCATCCTCGGCTCCTCCCGGTTCTCTGCTGATGAAGTCGCGGCGTCTCTGATGATGGTTTCCTGTGTTGCAGTAAGCAGGACCAGCTGACCCTCCCTAATGTCCCGGTGGAGGACCGCCCCCCGTCGCCTCCCCGCACGGCGCCGCCCACCATGAAGGTAACACCTGCTGCTCCCTCCAGACGCCGCTCAGGCTCAGAGTCAGTCTGCCTGTTTCTCTGTTAGATCTGTTATTCCAGATGAAACCTACAGGTCTGTCATCAGAGGTGACATCACACCTCTGATGACATCACAGGAAGCAGCTAATCAGACTCCACACCCATCAGTATTTTCCTCTTTATTTGGATGTTTGGTTGGTATTCCTCCATTAGAGGAATAAACCCAAGGGATTCTGCTTGGATTCATAGAAACACTTCGAGCTGTTTCTATAAACAATGGACAGATTTTTACAGCCACATGTTTATATAAGCCAAATGTATACAAACCAAATCATCTTATTTTGCTGATAACCTGTAGAAATCAGTTCACAAAGGTACTATCTTTATGTTTCTGAGCAAACTGTGACATTTTAGTGTAAATTTGTTAAATTCTGCAACATTAGCCTGAAACTGTCTCAGTGCTGCCCTCTTTGGGTTGAATGGTGGCTACTGCAGTAGAATTATTGTTTACAGCAGTTCAGCTGACACAAATTACTATATTTGTCACCAGTCACATTTTGACTAAAAGTCTCTAACTTGAATTTGCTACCAGTTTGCTAACATGTAGCTAACAATTTGCTAGCATTTTGCTAAAGGTTTGCGACCAGTTTCCTCCATCCAGTATCCATCTTGGGTCAGAGGTCAAACCTAACATTTACCCTTTTGTATCACCAAAGCTTCTCAGTACCTGTTCAGATCTGTGAACAGTGACATGTCCACCATGTTGCTCATTAGCGCCACCTGATCAGCCCATTCTTGTGCCTCTTGTGATGTCATCAGTCCAGGTCCAGTAGAATCAGCAGCTTTAATCTCATCTTGAAATCATAACGGATAAAAATCCGTCCTTCCTTCCCCAATTTGTTCTTGTTGACAAGCAACAGAAACACGGGGCTGCAAACCCGGTTCTGTTCTGATTCGGTTCAAATGTTACTTCCTCCAGTTTCATTCCCAGTGATTCCTAAATAGTTTAAACATATTGAAGCGCTTCTGCTGACACTGAACTGGTTTATCTGTTTCTGTCTGCAGTCGGCTCATTTCTTCGACATGATGGACAAGATGGAGGTAAGACTTTAATTCGCATGGATTCCTCTGACGGTTCTGTTAAATGAGCCGAGACGCAGGCAGGATGAGGAGACTTTATGAAACATCAGAAATTATCTGCAGAAGAAGAAATGAGAAAAAAAAAACAGAAGTTAGGAGGAAGTGGAGCCTTTAAGTTTTGTTTGTTGAATAAAGGAGATCTGATGGGAGGAGGCAGCATCATGCTGTGGGATCATCGGATCAGCAGCAATCATAGATCAATATCTCCAGGATCAATCTAGCATTTTTCATCAAAACAATAAAACAAATTAAAGGCCAGGTGAGGAAGAGGAGGGCAGAGATGCTGCACAGCAGAGAGACGGAGGAGCGGAGAGCGACTTGGTCCAGTTGGACAGCGAGAGACGGAAAACCAGACGAGTCTTCTGGACAAACAACAGATGTCTCACTCGGACTGAAATACAGAGTTCTGCTGGGTTTTGGTTCCGACTCTGAATAAAATGTTTTTATTGGCTCATCAGAATAATTTCGTCCTGTTTTCTCTCCCGACTGCGGAGCAGCAAGTACCAGAAGCTGCTGAGATGAAGACAATCCCTCTGAGACAGAAGGCACGTCCGTCCACCTACCTGTCCATCCATCTGTCCTCATGTCCGTCCTGATTCCTGTCCTGATATCTGTCCTCACGTCCCTCCATCCATCTGTCCATCCATCTGTCCTCACGTCCCTCCATCCATCCGTCCATCCATCTGTCCTCACGTCCGTCCAGCTCATGTCCCACGTTTTTTTCCATGTTGATGTAAAACCACGAGCGTCTGATCAGCAGGAAGTCTCTGTTCCTGACAGGAAGTCACTCCGATCTTCACCTTCACCATCATCACCTTCATCATCATCATCATCATCATCATCATCATCATCATCAATCATCATCATCCTCGGCAACCCAAGTTGCATGTCCTCTCTGTTGCTGTGGATTTGTTGCTTCCTTCAGTTTAACATCTAATCGTCTTTGGTTTAGTAAAAGTGAACCTGTGGATTCAGTCAGACGTTTACAGGAAGTGAAACTGAAGCTGTGATGTTGCAGATGTGATGTCGGCCATGTTTGAAACCTCCTCTGTCTCTGTTTCAGGACGATTACATTCCTTATCCCAGGATCGAAGAGGTGAGACTCAAACGTCTCTGTCCTCCAGTCCAGAGGTTGTGAGTTTGATTCCTGCCAGCAGTTTGAGGCAGCCGGGACGGTTTCACCCATTTTATTAATATTCTGATGGTTTCCAAAAATATCTGGGCTGAATTTTTTCTATCAAAGCTAAAATTACAGTTTGGACGTATTTTGTTATTATGGCTGTAAAATGTGAGATTTGGTTCATTTTCCCAGGAGAGGTTAAACTTTACTGTCCAACATTTTAGCTGTTTCAGCTGTTTAAAAGAAGAAAATGACAAAAACTGACTTTATTTTGAGATTTTATGAAAAAAAAATCATGAAGTTGTGAATTGGTATTTCAAATGTTCACAATATTTACCATTTATTTATGAGTCTAGGAATCTGAGTGTACAAAATATAACTATTATGCCAATTAACAACACAAAGATAAACAGATTGATATTGCACATGAACTATTAATTTCAATTGTGAATCTTTCACATGTGCTAAAAAACTATGCAAAAAATAACTACATAAAAAAAATTATGCCACATAGAAAACAAACTTGTCAAATCGCATATTAATATTTATATAAGGCATATTAGGGTCATTGTAGATGGGAAAGAAAGGAGGACATTTCCACAAAAAAAATGAAATTTCCTTGAAAAAAGCTAAAATTTTTGAGCTTCAAAAGAATTTTGCGAGAAAAACTCAGAAATTTATTACATTTATGTCAGAATTCTTCTACTTTTAATATTTTTCTAGGAAATGTTCAACTTCTCAAACTTAGCAATGTCCTATTTTGTTCTACAAAGTTTCTGATATTAATCTCAAAATTTCTGAGGTTTTTGTTGGAAATTTACTCCAGTTTTTTCGTTCCACTCTGACTCTAACATGCCGTCGTATATTTCATCTGAACTTTTGACCTGACACTTGAAATATCATGAAAACAGTTAAAAAGTAAAAAAGTTTATTCTCAACATTCAAAATATAAAACTGTAACATGACAACAATGCTGTAGTAATAACAGTAGAGCCGTTGCCGTGACTACGCAGCAGCAGGTAGCTCAGCATTTCCTCCAGGTGTGACAGAAACATGTCGACTCTGCAGGTGTTGGAGAGGGGGCCGCCGTACCCGCAGGTCATCCTGCCGCAGTTTGGAGGCTATTGGATAGAAGATGCAGAGGCTCTGCCCTCTTCCGAGGCCCCGCCTTCAGATGCTCCGCCCTCTTCTGAGGCCCCGCCTTCTTCCGAGGCCCCGCCTTCAGAGGCTCTGCCCCCATCCGAGGCCCCACCTCCAGAGGCCCCTCCTCCTGATGCTCCACCCATTGAGGCCCCACCTCCTTCCTCTCTGCAGTGCAGCGGTGCGGAGGTGGAGGACAGAGGAATAAGGGAGGCAGAAGGTTCTGCCCCAGGGGATTATGGGTATCACCTGGAGGAGATCAACGAGGCAGCACGCGCGTACAGGAAGCACTTCCTGGGCAGGGTGAGCTGTGATATCTTATGAATTAAATCTGTGTTAAAACATTTTGTGGTTTGCAGCAGTTTCAGTTTTTGGTCTCCAACGTCTTCCTGCCTTTCAGGAACATCTGAACTTCTTCTGCTCAGTCAGCAGTTTGGGAAACCTGCTGCTGTCTGTGAGACACGAGGAGGAGAAGGAACACGAATACCTGCACGTCATCATCAGGTAAACACAGGAACCGGGTCGGGTCAGAGCTCAAAGAGGGGCTTGGACCCTCTGGGAACTGCTTGTAACTACTGGTGGGCATTTATTATGTCATTTATCGTGATAAATGTTTTATCATGATAAGAATTTTGATTTATCGTTGTGACAATAAATTCCAATTAATGATGTTTAACTGTCATTATTGTCAGGTTTGATAGTTTTGCTATTTTCTCTGCAGTTTGTCCAATAAAAGTCTCAATAAATACCAATAAATATGACTTCATGCAGTTACTGTCTGCAGTTTAGTGAAACAAATCACACTTCATCATGTGACTGGTGCCCTAAAGAAACAAGCAGGAATGTTTTTCAAGAGCACTATTTGTGTTTGTGGAGCTACAGTTGCTACAGTGTTATAGTCACCTAAAAAGATGCAATAAATGGTTATTATTGTCACGTTTGTTACAATTGTATCACAAATTATTGTGATAAAACTTTAGGTCCACATCGCCCAGCCTACTGGTGACTCCAGTTAAAGTTTGTGGCGTTTTTGTTTTTAGGTAGGGGGCCTTGGACACTCTCATAACTGCTTTGGGTCTAGTTAAAGTTTTAAAAGCAGCAGTGTTGTTCCTCTGGATCCAGGTTTGTTCCTTGTGTTTGCTTCAGGTCTCGTCTGAAAAGCGTCTACCACAGATTATCTCTGTCGGAGCTGCCAGACATCCCCAGCGTTCCGGAGCTGGCCAAGGTGTCCACCCACCTCACTTCCTGTTCTCCTCTAAACAACTTCCTGTTCCTGTGGTTAAAAAGAAAACTGCTTGAATCAATCAATCAATCAATCAATCAATCAATCAATCAATCAATCAATCAAATTTTATTTGTATAGTATATTTCAGTAACAAGGCATTTCTAAGTGCTGTTACATCAAAAAAACACAAAGTCTCTCTCAAACTCTCAAATATTAAGAGCTGCTCTAGAAATCACAGCTTTGCATTGAAGACTAACTAAAGACAGATAATTCAGTTAAAGGGCCGGCAGCATGTAAAATTCATATTGTAATGTTTTTCCCTCATTAAATCAAACCTGCACTGTTGCTTTGATTCTTTTATGTTTAAGAAATCCTTTAATCTCCATGGCAACCATTCAGATGTTAAAACGTCTGGGTGGACCTAGCCCCGCCTTCAAGATGCGGCTCTGCCCCACTCTGCTCCTTCAGACTAGCCAGCAGCAATTAGCAAACATCTGGTGAGCTCATTATAGGAGCTGCTGCACAGAGCAAGGCTGGTAAAAACATTAAAGGGTTAACAGAGGAGCCATGTTGGGATGACTTCCTGGAGGCGGAGCTTCAGAAAGAGCAGGAATTTTTAAAGAGGCAGAGGCCCAATTTGAAGGTGTCATATTAGGAGGTCAAGTTTGTTTAAATCATACTTGATATGTAGCATTTTTATAACAACTGAAGTTAACATATTTAGTTGATTTTGCTATAAAATGACAGTAAGACACATAAAACTGCCTCGTTTTTGTTTTCTTTGACAGAAATGTAGAAGGTGAATATCTCGTTATGATCCAGGTTCATTTGATTTGAGACATTTCTGAGGCTAACAGACATTCTGCAAGACGCATTTCACACTGACCTGTGAGAGTTTATTGCTGATGAAAGTTAACGGTGTGACCTGTTTGTCCTGAAGCTTGTGTGCGACGAAGCGGCCTCCCTGCGGTTCAGTCCGGTCCTCTACCCCAAGGTGAGCTCGTTCTCCTCGTTCTCCTCTCAGTTTCTGCTGCTGAGACTCGTCCAGCTGACGCTGTCCTCTCCACCTGCAGGCGTCTCAGCTCATCGTCAACTATGACGAACACGAAGTCAACAACACCTTCAAGTTCGGCGTTGTCTACCAGCGCTTTGGGCAGGTCAGAACTGGCCATGCTGCTGATCTCATTAACGCCAAAATAACTGGGAAAAAAAACTATCTGACTCTGAATAGTAACCAAACTCTAGATTCAATGTTTATTAACTGAAAAAACAAATTATATCAGATCATTTATAGGATTAAGTTTATGTAGCTCATTTATGAATCTCCATGCAGAAATATTTTCATCCCACAGTTTGTGTGTTTATCCACCCAGACACCAGGAGGCGCTACAGATATAGAGACTCAAATGAATTCTGTTAGAACAAAATTACTTTGTTTTTTTACTGTGTTCAGGTTTGTCGCTCACAATTGTCCTGTTTTTAATTTCCAAACTGAAAACAATGTGTGAGGAAACAGGAAGTAATAAAAGCATCAGGGAGTGAAAATGTACCAAAAATTATGATTTTACATTTAATGCCAAACTGTAGCAACATTACACAAAGTTTATTTTATCACACAGTTAAAGGGATCAACAAAGTATTTTATTTGAATTTTATCTCTATTCTATTTTATTTTAATTTAATGTATTTTATTTATTTTTTGTTATATTTTATTTGTGTTTTCTTTGCTTAAAATAAAATATTATTTGTTTTTTATATTTAATTATTTTAATCTTATTTTATATGTTATGCTTTTGTATTACTATTTTATTTGTGATTTATTGTTACAAAATGAAATACTGTATTTGTCTCTGTGGTTTATCATGAGAAATGTAGAAGTTACTATCTGAAAATTGAAAAATAAAACAATTTTTTAGGTTTTTCTGCCTCCTGAGAAACATTTGACTCATAACCTCTAGTTGAGCCTGAGGTGATCTGTGATTGGCTGTGACAGCAGAGGTGACCTGTGATTGGTTGAGGCAGCAGAGGTGATCTGTGATTGGCTGTGACGGCTGTTACCTGTGCAGGTGTCAGAGGAGGAACTGTTCACCAACAACCAGGAGTCTCCGGCTTTCTCCGAGTTCTTGCAGCTGCTGGGAGAAACGGTGGAGCTGCAGGACTTTAAGGGGTGAGCAGCGCCACAAGCTGAACCATGGACAACACAAACCGTGGAGTTTCTGTTCAGGGCAGCAAAATCTGATCTCGGGTCAGCGCAGAGTAACAATAACAAAGTTAGTCGAGTAAAGATAAAGAGAAACCGTCCAGGAAATGAGTCAGGTGAGAGAAAAACTACAAATCAACAAATTATTTAATGTTTAGAGATGACATCATCGGACAGATAAAATATACAGTTATGTGGAAATGTTGGTATTTTAAGGACCGAAATGAAAATAATTCACATAAATAATTCACATAAATAATTACTTTCAATATAAAGATTGTTAAACTTTGTCATAAACTGCAGGTGTGTTTATGTGTCTGGTCATTTTTTGGTTAAAACAAGTTAGTTCTTCAATTAGTACACGGAAATTTGACTCAAGTCAGAGTAGAAACACTTTATATTAAAGCTACTTGAGTAAAACTAGTTACTGGCCAACTGTTGGTTTTTAAAACCAACTCGATATTAAACATTTATTAGAAATAATTTGATTATTTGGGATTAAAAAGGATTAGTTGGAATCTAAACTTTCATATTTGTCGTAATTTTCATCAAAATGAAACTTTTTCATTTTTACCACAAATTGAAAACCGTCAGTTTTTGGATTTTAGCTTCAGGAATAAAAACTAAAACTTAACAATGTCATGTTGTGTTCACCAGCTGATCCTTTTGGACTTGGTAGAACCGGGCCGGTCCAGTCAGCTCTTGCCCTCCTGTCTGCAGGTTCCGGGGCGGGCTGGACGTGTCCCACGGCCAGACAGGGTCCCACTCTGTCTACACCGTCTACAGAGGTCAAGAGGTCATGTTCCACGTCTCCACCAAGCTGCCGTTCACCGAGGGAGACGCGCAGCAGGTAGAACAGAAAACTGCCGGGAATCCGGGAAAACTCAGGAAATAAAAACAACAGGAAGCATGATAGGAACATGGATCTCTGTGATTCCATTTGGTTCTGATTGGTTCTGGTTGGTTTTAGTTAGTTCCGTTTGGTTCTGTTGGTTCTGGTTGGTTCTGTTTATTCAGGTAAGGTTTTTGGGTTTAAACTTAGAGCTTCTATCAGATTCTTTCTTTTTGTTAATCAAAGTAAAACTAAAATAATATTTTTACAGAAACTAAAAATAAATCTTTTAGTTGCTGTCATCTCAGAGTAGAGAAACTGTTATTCTTTCTGCTGATCAATAATTAAAGGTATTGATCAGCAGAGCTATGGTTATTGCCCGAGTGCTTTTGATATAGACAGTTGCCCAGGGCAGCATGAGAAGAGGGGAGGCTGAATGGTTCAATCATAAAACTGAACTTTTAAAGTTTATTTTCATGGGACATAAAAACACCTGAAAATGGACCCAGATTCCTCAGTTTAACTCGGTGTTTTCAAGACTGCACTTCCCCCTGTTGGTCACTAACACCTTGCCCGTGTCACTTCTGTCGCTCAGCTGCAGAGGAAACGCCACATAGGAAATGACATCGTGGCGGTGGTGTTCCAGGAAGAGGCCACGCCCTTCGTCCCCGACATGATCGCCTCTAACTTCCTGCATGCCTTCATCCTGGTGCAGGCAGAGGAGACGCACTCGGACAGTGCCACTTACAGGGTAGGAGGTCTCACTGAACCCAACTACCAACCCGACAAAGTCCATCTGGGTTGAGGAGAACCGAACCAGAACTGAACCTGCTTCTCCAACTTCTGGCAGGTTTCCGTCACAGCGCGAGAAGACGTCCCACCATTTGGACCGCCGCTGCCAAACCCGGCCGTCTTCAGGAAGGTGAGCTAGGAATCCAGTCAGAACCGGGTCGAGTTCTTACATCGAACCGGGTTACATTCTAATGTCTGGACCGAACCGGGTCGAGTTTTAACGCCCGAACCGAACCGGTCTGATCTGTGTTTTTCTTCTCCAGGGTCCAGAGTTCAGGCAGTTCCTCCTCACCAAGCTCATCAACGCGGAGCTAGCCTCCTACAAGAGCGAACGCTTCGCCCGGCTGGAGGTAACCAGCAGGGGGAGCCGTCTCCCCCAGCCTGCTGGACAGTATGGACAGGGTTCAGACTCTTAACGGGGTCTTATGGAGCTAAAATAGGGCCATAAAGTTTGTTCAGAATTTTTTTCAGCTAAAAAAGTTTTGAAGCTGAAAGAAAATAACTTTTTTTTAAGGCTCAAATCTTTTTTTCAGTTTAATTTTTTTTTTTTTTTGTTTAAAATTGATTTTCACTGTGAAATAGTTTGTTGTTTCTTTGTGTCAAAATATGTTTTTTATTTCAGTTTTAACCATTTTTTGTTTCAAAAATGTTTTTCAACTGAAATGATTTTTCATGTTCTAACATTTTGGCCTTAGTTTAAATCTGCTTTCCCTTTGTTGAATCATCTTTCCTCTTTTTCTGCTGCTGGATGAAAAAGTTTCCTGATCCAAACACAGTTTGTTGTGTCTGAATCATTTCGCAGCGTTTTGGGATTAAATCCTGATTTTCCCGGTGCATCTGCCAGCAGTCGGGTTTCTCTGGAGTGAATTGGTTCGTTTTATTTCTCTCCTGCTCAGGAGCGGACCCGCTCTGCCCTGCTGGACGGCCTGCTGGACGAGCTGCACAGACGCTCCCAGTGCATGCTGGGATTGGGCTCGGGGATGGAAGAAGAGGGCCGGGGTGAGAATGGCCACGCCCACGGAGGACTGCTGGAGTCCATCAAGGTCAGTATGAAGGTCACTTCAGCTTTACTCTCACAAACATCCCAGTTTGATCGTCTGACTCTTTGTTGGAAACCAGTTCAGGAGTTTAATGTTTAGCTGGTCAAAATCCTATTTAAATATTTCTGCTGTTTCATTTCAGAGAGCGATGAAGGGGCGGAGCGTATCCATGGAAACCATGTCGCGTGGTGGGGCGGGGCTACCCACCAGTCTGAGTGGGGGCGGTCTAGCCCACCTGAGCATTGAGGTGAGCAGAAATGGTCCAACGCTCCGGTTCCACCTCAGCAGCTGTTAGCAGCTGGATTATTTTTGTGTTTCTGTTGCCAGGGCAACGTGAAGTCTCCGGTGAAGCGGCGGTCAGGCCTGTTCCCCCGCCTGCTGAGTGTCGACAGCCAGACAGACAAGCACAGCCACAGGAGGTAACCACGACAATGACCTTTCTGATGACCTGACAGAAGTCTAATAAATGTTGTGAAAAACTGAGAGTTTTTTTTTATTATTATTATTTAACACAGTTTGGTCAGAAAAGTGTCACAACATCTGCAAAGCAAGTGATTTTATAGAACCTGACATCTGAGACACAGAACAAATGAAAACAGGGCCTAGAACAGAACCCTGAGCTGCTAATCCGCTAACACGCTAATAGCAGAACTAGCTTTCTGTTTAGCGCTTCTTTTAAAAATCATTTATCACACTTAGCTTCCCCTAAATTAATTTTTCTAGGAAATTCTAAATGGCTAAATGACTCTTACTTTTTATACTTTCAAATTCATGCTCTTATTTTGAAGTTATTCAAGTATGTTCACACTGCAGTTCCATTTCCTCTCCTCACTTTCTCTTTTTTCCATAAAACGTTAACTTCAACGAAATACTGTGTTGACATAGCACCATAGCATTTTCTTCAGCTAAATACTGTTTTGGTGTAGTTCTTTAGCATTAGCTTCCGCTGAATACCATGTTGATTTAGCAACTTAGCATTAGCTTCAACGAAGCACTTTAGCATTAGACACTATTTATGATTAGTGCTTTAGGATTAGAGCAACTGTTTTAGCTAGGGATGCTCACTTGTGGCCCAGAGGAACTCCATGTTTATATTTGAGGCTAACTCTAGTTTTTCTGTTGTTTCTCATCTCAGCTGTTAGCAGATATCCTTAGCATGAAGCTACCGGCTCAGTTGTTCTTCTGGTTAAACTCTGTTTGCTGTGTCAGCCTCCTCAGTGAGCAGCGCAGCTTCGACTGTTTCCACCCCATGCTGGAGGTGAGGTCTGAGCTGCCGTCCAATCCCAGCTCTCCAGAGGCAGGACAACGGGACAGGTGAGCTTTAATCTGTCTTTTTGTTTTTAATCTGAGCAAAACAGCAGCAGCAACGTTTCTGTGTTTTCAGGATTCATCCGAAGAAGGAGAGCAGTAAGATTTCCAGATCCACATCCAGCACCTGCAGCTTCAGCATTCCCTCTGACGACGCTCACCTGGTGAGACTAATCAGTAATCTTCAGCTGATTTGGTTGTAGCTGTAGTACAGCCTGGCCTGGTCGGAGTGGAGAACAGAAGCTGTTCTCCCAGGAAAACCTTGTAGAGGTTCTGAATCTGTTTTTACGACCAAACTGGATGGGATCTGACTCACCATGTGGTCATATTTGGGTCCAGCCATAGTTAGCCTCCATGGTTGGTGTCCTCAGGTTGGTGTGAAAAGAAAGTTCAGAGGTCATTTGTGTTCTGATGAGGATTCAGAATCAGGAATAGTCTCGTATTTTCCTGCTGTGGATCTGATCTCATTCTGAAACTTCCTGATCTTCTCCGTCTGTCTCAGACTGCGCCGTCGGAGGTTTCCTGTCCACTGATCGTCTGCCGCAGCCCCACAGGTTCAGTGCATCCACCTTCATCACGTACGGATTCCTGCGCCTCGCCTCACTGACCCCCGTTCATTTTCCTCTTTCAGAACTGAAAAACAAGAACTCTCCCAGATCCAACCTGAAGTTTCGCTTCGATAAGCTGACTCACTCTGCTGCTGTACGTCGGTTTGTCTGAGCCAACCCTTCCTGTGGTCCAGGCTCGTAATCCGCTGGTGGTCCTGATAGCGTTCCATGCTTTCTGAAGGTTTTTCTGAATTTCATCTTTAGACTTTGACCGATTCGCCTCCCAGCTTCAGATCTGCTGCTGATCCATCTACACCCAACCCCCATTGAAGCTCCTGAGCAGTAAACCGTGACGGATCGAGATCCTGGATAGAAGCAGTCAAAATGACTGCTGGGGTGGTTCATCTGGTCCCTTTGCTGGGTTTGTTGGGAGGATTTGTCAAGTCTGACTCTAGCCGGTTAAAGTTTGGTTTGGTTTTAGCCAAGTTGGGTTGCTCTCCATTGGCTGTGGGTTCTTCACTATGTGGGTGTGGATGTTGGAATGTGGCCAGGCGGTCAACGTGCCGTTGATGTTGTTGAGCTGATGTACCTTAGGGCGGCCAGTGTCTCTGAAATCTCTCGCTATATTAGTTTATTATGGGTTGCCCAGTCCAGTTGACGTTGTCTTTTCTCTGCCACAAATGAAAAACATTTTGAACGTGTTGGGCCAATCAATGAATCTGTCTGCTGCCAATCAAATCGCTTGGGTGCAGCGCCTTGCACCTTCCTGAGGTCATTACTAAAAACAGGGAGGAACCGTACAGGGTCTGTAAATGGAGATGAAGAACTGGTTAGATCTGTTTGAGAAGGGGCTTAAAAAACTCCTGAACTCTTCTTGAGATAAGTCAGACAGAAAATATGATTTTTATCTCCAGCAAGGAGATTCCTACAGAGTCGTCATCTTAACCTGTTGGTCTCAGGTTGTCATTCACAATGACAGGGGTGTCAAACTCCAGTCCTCAAGGGCCGCTGTCCTGCAGTGTTTAGATGTGCCACAGGTAAAAAACAGTGGAATGAAATGGCTTAATTACCTCCTCCCTATGTAGATCGGTTCTCCTGAGCCTTGCTAATGACCTAATTATTCTTTACAGGTGTGGTGCAGTAGAGGCACATCTAAAAGTTGCAGGACAGAGGCCCTTGAGGACTGGAGTTTGACACCTCTGTCACGAGAGGACCCAAATTAGGGTCCTCTCGTGACAGACAGGTTAAGACCTGTCTTAGAGTGGATGATCTGCTGAGGAATAATGGACCTTTAAGGTCCTAAACCTTGTCTTGGATTGGGTAGATGATGACTCTTATTCTCCTGTCCTGAAACTTTCCCAGACCTTTCTAGTTGAAGGTGACTGGACTAGACTGGTGAGGGAAGTCTACAGAAAGCCTGGAGACATTTAGATCCAGACCAGCTAAACGGGAAAACTGGATCACAGGAAGGAAAACAGGAAGAGAACTCTGAACAATCTGAAACTCCTCTGATTTCTCTCTCTTCTCTATCAGCAGGGAAACTGAACTCAGGAGGTTCTGGAGGTACGTACAATTCTCAGAGCCGCTTCAGGTTAGATGTTTAACTTCCTACCATAGAAATCCTGAGTCTGGACTCAGAAAGCTGCAGGCTAACTCCAGGTTAGCACCTGGTTAGCCACAGGATAGCTGTCCTCCTCATGGCTGCAGGTCTCCAGGTGTTTCATGAGGAGAACTTCATCTGGATCTCCTGTCTGTTCTCCAGAGAAACCACGTGGAGATGCTGCCTTCACACCACCAGAACCAGGAGGATGGACTGAACCAGACCGAACCACATCATCACAAACGCCTTCCTGGTTCCTGAGGCGCGCTGGATCTACCTGATGTCACTAAAACCCGTGGAGCCACCATGGAGACCCGGTTCCAACTACAGACAACTTCTGTTGTTTTAACCAATGAACACTTTGTTGTTTTTTTGTTTTCCTTGTTTCCTTATGGATGAAAACAGGAGTCATAGGCCGTTTTCCTTTTCAGGGAATGTTAAAGGAGTTTTTCTCACAGATCAGTGAAATGGTTCCGACTCGTTCGGAGATCAGGTCCAGCTCTGTCCTTAAAGCTGGTTGAGCTTCTCCACCCTCCTTTTCCTCACTATTAGAAAACTAAGCTACGGTTGCTAACTAAGTTTACCTTGGACCTATTTATTTAGCTTCCTAATTCAGTATTTCAGCTAAATATTTAATTTGGAGTTAAATATTTAGTTTTGTCTGAAAGGTTTTTGCTGAAACACCTGCCGTTGTGTGACTGGTGCTTCGTGGCGATGTTCTGATCCAGAGGGTCAGGGAAGAGGTCAGAAACCAGCCCAGCCCTCCCTGCAGTGAGACTTTCAGGACGTTTTCATTGTTCCTACAACCAGACCCGGACTGAATGTTTGCTGTGACGTCAGTGTGAGTCGTTGTTGTCTGACTGGAAACCAGAAGATAAAAACCACAGATTGTCTCTGTACATCAATGTGTCGTTTTCTGTCTGCTCACCATCAGGAAATGTGAAAAATTTCACATTTCCTGACAGCAGGTTTTCTTTCAGACATTCCAGTTCTCTTGACCCTGAAAGCACTGTGTTGAGTTTAAGGTCCCATCAGAAATCAGTGGCTTCTCTTCATGTCTCTTAGTGGATGTTTGCTTCTGAATCTGATAACAACTTCACTGCCGTTTGAGTCAACATCACTGACATCCCTCAGCTCTCTGGTTGTTGTGCTCTGTATGAAGATTCAAAATATCCCGTTAAAAACTAAAATCAGTATTTGCACTAAAGCTGTTTCCTCGTTGTTTCAAGTCTTGTTCCAAGTTTTTAAACAAAACTCAAAGTTTTATTTTGTCAGGGACCAACTGATGCTGCAGAAACACAATGATGTCAGTCAGCTGTATGTTTCATCTTGAAGGACAACTGTGACATGAAAACCTGGAGCTATAAAGTTTCTGAATCGTTTGCACTTTGAGCGTTTTTGACTTGTTTTGTGTGATTTTTCCAGCAGCTCTCTGGTTTTTAAAGTTTGAATCTCTCCCAGTAATGTGTGTGTGTTTGGGGTCAGAGGTTGTATGCTGCTCTAAAGACATCATCACTTCTTATTTAAAGCTCAATTTTACTGGATCAGATAAACTTCTTAGTTAACTGACCAAAGTTCTCTGAGATGTCTGGTTGTAAATCAAAGCTAAAGGACAGAAAGGGTCCAGTTCATTAAAAAGCTTCAGTTTTTATATTCATCTGGAGCTATTTCTGCACATTAACAGTGAAGAGATTACTTATTTTTCCACAATTTATCCCAAATAGAGCCAATATAAAGTAGCAAAGATGGGACCAAGAACACAACCCTGTGGGACGCCACAGGATCTCATCCTAACAGACAGGAAACAACTGCCAGGCGGTTAACCCTCCTGGGTTTCTCAACATTTCTTGTCTTTATGCAGATTTATTTATTTTATTTTATTTTGTGTGTTTTGTTATACCAAAACACACAAAATGAGTGAAAAACTACTAATTTTTCAGTAGTTTGTCTTTCAAATTTCCATAAAGCCTTTAAGCTAACAATATGCTTTCTGCATTTTTATGTAAACTCCCATTTCAAAAATCATTTTTAGATTACACTCCTACACCACTTTGATATTTTCTTCACTGATGTTCATAAATCTTCAAAATTATTTTATTAATTTGCATATACTGAATTTTTCAAAGGCAGACTTCTGATAAATAAAAATCTAAAATGAACTCAGAATATGTTACAGTTACAGTTTTTTGTTTTAAAGAGAGATTTTCCCCCCCCTAAAACTGGGATTAAAGAGATTAAAATGTAGGGAACATTAAGATTTACTGGTTATCATAAATGAATGATGAGGACTGAAGTTTAAAATTCATTAAAATAAAATGTAAACTAATGTTTTTGTAGCAACTTTTAAATAAGCATTGTTTTGTGTCCATGAACCACAGAAAGTTACAGAACAAATCACACAATAAATCAAATATTTATTTCCATTGTTGATAAAATGAAAAAGAATTTTACTGAAAATTTCTCTTCAGTTATTTTTTTCTGTTTTTGAATTGAGTTTGTTTTTCAGATTCTAAAGTCTTAACAGGTGTTTTCGTAGAAAAAAACTGCAGTAAAATCGAATTTCTGACATTTCAGTACGGATTTCTGAAATTGAATTTCAGAAATGTCAGAAAAAACAACACTGATAGACAATCAGTCTAGCCTTTACATGTAACTTTAAACTTAAGTTGAGTGGAAGAAAAAAGTGTGGCGAAAAAATGTGCAACGTGGCTGACTGCATGCTTGAGAAGATCGTCCATTCAACAGTTTGCGGAGCTGTTAGAATCCAGAATCATCTAAATTACAAGAAATAAACTCTTGAAACCTTTTAAATAATATAATATAAATCTCTGTGCAGATTTACTCTATATGACCTGAGTATCACGGATTGAATTGCTAAAATATAATATATTTTTTTATTAAATCAAAATTTGAGATTAATCTATATGAGAAGAATTACGTCCATTAAATTCAGATAAATAAATAAACACTAAGGGGCGACATTCCCTGATTCCACCAGCATAACTCCGCAGAAGAAGAGCAGGGAAAGCATTACCGGGTTACGGAACCCAGCGCAGCTCGCTCTGCTTGTTGTCCGCAGCAGTTAGCTTCATGGCGGCGGTGCGCAGCTTGCGGGTCTCGGTGAAATCCGACAGCGGCTCGGAGCGCTCGGAGTCAGACTCTGACTCCGAGTCGGACAGAGATGGCCGGGAGGCCGAACCGATGGAGGTGGAGGAGGGAGAGCTGGAGGCGGAGGACGTTACGGTTAGCCGCTCCCTGAAGGAGCTGTTGCCGGTGAGTGTCTGAGGCCCGCAGGCAGACCCGGGGCTGGAGTTAGCTGTGGCCGGCGGAGGTGTGAGGAGAGGCGGCATGCGGCACCACGGAGCCCCGCCTCGGTCTGGGAGTCAGTGAGACGTTAACCTGCCGGTTAATTGAGTTAAATGCAGTAGAGACGTTTGTCTTTCAGCTTCTTTCTGTTCCGTTTCTAAACAGTTTTTAATGAAGACAGGAGCCGTTTGTTTTGGAAAACCTGCTCCTCTTTCCTCATCTGCTGCCCCTGCACAGCTCCTTCATCAGTTCGCTGTGTTGCTTTAAGGTTGTGTGTGAAGCAGATGTTCTCCTGCAGGTGGAGCCCAAACCTGAGGCCTTCAGCTGAACCTCCTGACTCTCAATGTTAACCCCCTGCTGTGTCTTCTCTCTGCTCCAGGACACCAGCCGCAGGTACGAGAACAAGGCCGGAGCCTTCATCACAGGGATCGACGTCAACTCCAAGGTAATAACGCACCTGGATCCAGGATAAAAACACTCCTGAATCCAGAATAAAAACACACCTGGATCCAAGATAAAAACACAACTGGATCCAAGATAAGCACACACCTGGATCTAAGATAATCACTCCTGGATCCAAGATAAACTCACAAGTCGATCCAGGTATGCATTGTGAGCCAGCATCATCTTATGTTAAATCTCATATTTGTCTGTTGTTTTTTTTGTTTTTTTGTGCTGTGGGATAAATGAAACCCGGCCGCTCTCAAGTTGATGGGATCCACTTGATCTGGGAAGCAGTTCTGATCTGACTCTGTTTGCTCTCCAGGAAGCCATCGAGAGGAAGGAGAAGCGGGCGAGACGTTTCCATTTCCGCTGCGAGGAAAACGTCGGTCAGAGAAACGTCTTCCTGGATAAAGACGCCATGAAGAAAGGTGAGGCAGTGTTCTGTTTGCTGCTCTTCACCAGGGATTAGTTGCTGCTTCTTCAGACTGCCTCTTTCTTCTTCTGTGGTGCCAGCCATTCCTAGGTTGCGGATGGAGGCCATCCATGTGACCGGCGTGGACGACATGAGCACCCAGGACGTCTTCGGCTACTTTAAGGAGTATCCGCCAGCGCACATCGAGTGGATCAACGACACGGCCTGTGAGTCCAGAACCTGGTCAGAACTGGGAGTGTTTTTGTTGTTGTTTTTTTTTTTTTTTTTTTTTTTTTTTTTTTTTTTGCAAAAATGTACATTTCTGACTTTTGAGTCATCATGTTTTCTTTGTGACAAATGGTGGATATGAGCAAATGGTGGATTTTAGAGCTTTAGCGTTAACTTCTGCTAAATGCCACATTGGCATAGCCTTTAAAGCTAAAGGTAAAAGGCAAAGGTAATTTTATTTATATACCACATTTTCAGCAACAAGCCAATACAAAGTGCTTTACAGAAATTAAAAAAGAGGAAAGGACACATTAGGGCACATGGCAGCATTCAGACAAAACAAAGACGTGAGTGAAGGCGGTGACATCACTGGGCCATGAAACCACGTTGCTCAGCCTCCAGGCAGAAGTCCGAGAAGATGTTGTTATCAAGGCATGATGTCCTTGGGGAGCGCTCAGCTCCACAGCTGCATGGATAACAGGAGGGGCAGAGGTGGTAAGGAGCCTCAGCAAGACTCGCATCCAACTTGCGTCTCTGTCCATACCAGCAGTCTGAGTGTTCGCTAGTTCGGCTAAGTCTGTTACAAATTTGTAGATAATCCAGAAATCCGCAAGCTCCAAACAGCAGAAATACTGTTATCATGAATAAATCCCAGGTGAATCCCAATGGGTGTGCCCCCGCAGGATAAGAGGGCTCTCCTGTGCCCAGACTTCTCGTCGAGAAAATTTGATCAATTGCATTGAGAGACCGGTTGACCAGATCCACAATTTGTAGATTCGGAGGATGTGCAAAGAAAGGCTCCAAAAATATAGAAAAAGAGAAAAACAGCAAGCAGGGAAGGCATGGGCAGGGAGGGAGCAGAGGAAAAAGCGTCCACCTTCGCCGAGAGCAAGAGAGAAAGTGCCCTGTAGGCTTTAGCTTCCACTAATGTTTGTTGTAATTGGTGCTTTATGGTTAGCGCAGGTGGGTTTGTAGCTGGCGGTTCCCTCCATTGGTTTTACTCTGTGATTGGTGGAACCTCCTGACTGGTTCTGATGGTTCCTGGCTTATTACCTGTGCCTTCCCGTTTCCTAGGTAACGTGGTTTGGCTGGACGATGACACCTGCATCAGAGCTCTAATCAACAGCAGCCGGATGCCTGAACTAGAGGCTGTTACCACGGAGACGGAGTCCGGATCCCAGCCCGACGACCCGAGCAAAGGTCAGTGTGGATCAGAACCTGAGTCGCTGCTTCCTGACGCTGCAGTGCATTCTGGGTAAATGGGTCTGTCTGAACGCCGCAGCTCGTCGGGACCGGGGATCTGAGGATGAGGATGACAAAGAGGAGGAAGGTGAGGTGGATGAAGAGGAGGAGGAGGTGAAGAAGAGCAGAGACGATGAGAGCAAGACGGCTGGACAGGTAAAGCTTCACCTGGGAGAACAGGAAGTGGTCGTCTGACTGATGAGTGACTCAGCTGTGTGTGTGTGTGTGTGTGTGTGTGTGTGTGTGTGTGTGTGTGTGTGTGTCAGGTGGGCGACCTGTCGCAAGCGGAGAGAGAGTCTCTGCTGAGGAATGAACTGAGACCTGCCATCAAACCGTTCAAAGGAAACAAGCTGCTGCTGCGCTTCGCCACGCAGGGTAACACACACACACACGCACACACACTCACCAGCTGGTATTTCCACCCATCTGAGTAATTTCATTGACTGAATATGAGTAGATGTTCTGCATAGATATTTTTTTAATTTCAGCGTTTTGTCTGTAAGCACACACTGACATGAGTCCAACACGTTCTGACCCGTTTCCTCCTGGTACCGGTCCAGATGACAGGAAGGAGCTGGGAGCTGCGCGCCGCAGCAGATACTACATGAAGTATGGAAACCCAAACTATGGTGGCATGAAGGGGATCCTCAGCAACTCCTGGTGAGTCTCTGCCCTCTGGGCACCATGACAACTGGAACACCCAACATGTACTGACCAGGCCTCGTCCCGCAGGAAGCGGCGGTACCACAACCGGCGCATCCAGAGGGACGTGATCAAGAGCAAGAAGCCTCTGATCGGAGACAGCATGGGACACACTCCGCCATACACACACCGACACTCCGGTAACAGCTCCGCCCACACCCAAACGTCACCACCCACACTGTTACCCACAATCCTCTGCTTCCACCCTCAGCTGACCTGGTCAACCTCCCCGAGGAGCCCATAAAGGAAGAGGAAGAGGAGGACGAAGAACAGGAGGATGAGGCTGACGAGGACATGGACTCTGACGACAGGGTGGTGGAGTACAAGGAGAGGGGCGGAGCCTCGCGCCCGCCGGGTGCAGGGCTTCACAGCCGGGCGGAGCGCTCTCCTTCGCCGTGGTCCGAGTCGGACGAGATGGACTACGACCTGGAGCTGAAGATGATCTCTACGCCATCGCCCAAGAAGAGCAAGAAGATGACTATGTATGCTGACGAGCTGGAGGGCCACCTGAAGAACATCAGGTGAGAATCACTTTGTGCTTTCACTTCCTGTCGCCTGGCCTGGTGACAGCAAGCTGAGCAGAACTGGGTCGGAGGTTTTATTCATCTCGAACTTGTTCCATGTGAAACAGGAACCGGATCGGGTCGTCAGGCTCTCAGAACCGGGCTAAGGCCTCGTCGCCCCCCAAGGTGACGGACGTCCGGCAGCTGCTGGAGGAGAAGCGTCATGGTGGCTCTGGGGGCTCTGGGGGCTCTGGCAGCAGACAGCGCTCCCCGGTGGCCAGCAGCAGGAAGACAGGTGAGGCGTAGAACCAGGTGTTCCAGAGGTTGCGGTGGCTGGGCAGGACTGACCTTTGCTGACCTTTACTGACCCCGCAGACGTGAGGCAGCGGCTCGGGAAGAGGCGCTACTCCCCCGACAGGCGGCGCTCAGCCTCGCCTTCGTCCCCCCGGGACACTCCCCCACCCCGGGAGCCAATCAGCAATGTGCACCGCAGACTGGGCGTGGCCAGCCAGGACAGCAGAGGACCAAACACTTCCAAAGACAGGAAGACAAGTACGAGTACGACCGCCACTTCCTGTTTTCATTCCACCTTCTGTTTAGAACTTCTTGTAGAAATGTGCTGTGACCTCCTGGTGACCTTTGCTACCTAGATTAAAACTCAGTCAGAATGGTTCTGAGCAGATTATAATCGCGTTTTATGTCTGAGCGTCCTGATCTGTTTGTTAAATTCCACTTCCTGTCTGATCCTCCGACTTTCTGTCTGTAGGCGCTCTGTGGAGCAGGCTGGGTTCCGCCGCTGGCGACGACAGCAGCAGCAGCGCCGGGCATCATGAGCGCAGGCAGAGCAGCCGCCCAGAGCGGCAGGACGTCAGCCGGAGGAGGCGGGGCGACGGGGAGGAGGAGGAGGAGGAGGGAGAGGAGGAAGACGACTCTACGCTGCAGAGGGTCTGGGGTGCCATGATCAAACAGAAACAGGAACGCCGCAGCCACAAGATGAAGAAGAGCCGGTTGGACAACCTGCCGTCGCTGCAGATCGAGATCAGCCGCGACAGCAGTGATGACTCGGACGCTTGAACCCACAGGGCGGAGCCTAAAGCCCCTTCACCTGCTGGGGGCTGGGCAGAGCACCGTCACTAACCATTCCTGTTACTGAGGAGGAGCTGAACTTCCTGTTTGCCCGGAACATGATGAGTCTTGGGGCAGAACCTAGAACAGAGGACCGTGATGGGACTGCGCCCCTCTGCCTGAACCCTTCCTGCTTCTGTTTGTAGTTTTTTATTTCCTTCCTGTGTGATGCCATCAGCTTCCTCTTCCTCTGTGGGACGGGAACCATGAACCGGGTCGAGTTGCCGGGTTGCCAGGTCCACAGCAGCTGTTCCTAATGTTAAATGAACCCATGGAGCCGTTCTTCCTCTCATGATTATGATGATGATGATGATCCAGGTCAGAGTTAAAACAGTCGGACAGCAAAGCCGCCAATCAGCTTTTAGCCAGATGCTGATTGGCTGCCCAATAAACTCTGTTTTGCCTGACCTTTGACCTCTACATTCTGTCCACTCTAACCACAAAGCAGAGCAGAACTGTGAAGTGGGTGGAATATGACTCATTGTTCGATTTTTATTAATAAAAATCTGGAAAGTGTGGTGTGTCTTTGTATTCAGTTAATTTGGTTTAATATTTAAAAATGTCATCAGACTAATATATAAAGTTATTTCCAAATTCTGGTATTTTAAAAACTAAAATAACTTGTGAAACTGATATTTAGAGCAGGTTATTCGTCTACAGATATTTGTCACAAATTCTTTTCACTTTGTGTACTTGGGCAACACCGTCCTTAAGTTATCAATGAGAATTATATTTTCTTTTGCCTATTTTTCTATTTTAAACATTTTATTTTACTTAATTTATTGTCATACAAAAAATATTTACAATTTTCAGTTATTTTCTGTTTTCTTGCTTTTTATTTAGTCATTTATTTTTGGATTATTTTTTATTCAAGATATTTATATTTCTTTTTTTTTAGAGAAATTAGCATTATGTAATTTGAGTTTATGCTCCGGTTTTAGTTATTTGTGTAATCTTTTAAAATTAGAGCTATTTTGTAATTTAATGACTGTTATATTTACTGCTATGCTCATATTGAACATGCTTACTGTTAAAGAGACCTCTACCTGTCAGGCTCCAAGCAGTGGTCGCATGCGTCGGCCAATCGCCTCAAGCGGCCGTTTCTTACACAACTGTCATCTCCTTCACTCTGATTAGCTCCTTTGTGTGTTTGTTATTCTTTCGGACCAATCGAAATCCAAAGCCCGGGAAGCACTGCGTTTTTCCAGCCAATGAGGCACACTGACGTCACTGTAACTACAAGTGAATTTCATGTGACGTATGAGGCCTGTAGCTCAAGTCGCCATTTTCTTGCCATCGAAAACGAACCGAGAAGACCAACTGACGGCGGCGGAAAAATACCGTCGAGTTGGGCCATAGTTCTTCATGGTTGTCGGCCCAACCGTTATCTCGATGAATTAATGGACTGTCTGCTGCTACGTGGTAATGCTATTGGTCCGGCTGCTGTAGCTTGGTTCGGGTGTCGGAGCTGGAAGATGGAGGACCAGACGGCCCGGGAAGACGCCTGCAGGGAGTACCAGTCCTCGCTGGAGGACCTGACGTTCAACAGCAAGCCGCACATCAACATGCTCACCATCCTAGCCGAAGAGAACATCCAGTTCGCCAAGGATATCGTGGCTATTATTGAAGCTCAAATCAGCAAGGTTTTTATGATCATAGCATACTTTATTATCAGTTTGTGTATGTGGGTCAAACATGGCGGTGTTGTGGTTAGCGGCGCTCTGTGGAGGCCCAGCAGAACCTCCGGCTTCTCTGTACGGAAGCAGCTCAGTCAGGCTGTCTGAATAAACCTCTGGTCCTCCGGCTAGCTGGATGTGGTCCTGGCTTCAACAGAAAGCCGCTTTTTTTTTTTTTTAAAGAAAAACATTTTACGGTTACACAAACTTCTTAAACAAAAACAGACGTTAATAGGAAGTGTCTCTAACCGGTTCCAGGTCCATTCTGACCTCAAAGTTCGGTTTCAACCATCTACTTTTTAAGTTGTTTGAAACTTCTTCCAGGGTGTCAGATTGGTCCGAAACAGGAAGTGATTAATTTCCATGTGGCAACACCAAGAAACTAAACGAGGTCAGAAGTCACAGGAAGTGGTCATTAAGGCCTTCATCATCGGCTGACTGTTTCCTGTCAGAAATCTGAGCGTTAACCAGAGAGCCTGGAGACACGCGAGAAAAAGGTCAAATAAACTTTATTACTATTGTCATTATACACTATGATCATTTATGAACACAGCTGGGAAAAGTAACAATATATCAACTTATTTCTATTAAAGTAAAAGTAATCGGTATTATCCAAGACATTACTAAAACGTAAAAATGTTTTTGGAAAACAGACGATTCCTGTGTAACATTAAAACTTTTGCTTTAATATTTAAAGTGATGCAATCAGATGGACAAATATATAAAGTTATGTACAAATAAAGACTTAATAAAGTTCCTAAATTACCTTTTTCAATATTAAACTAATACATCAGCTAATATTTGTATATAAGAGCAGGGCACAGTAGTTGTATATAAATATAATATAAATGTTTACTGTATGTTTAAATGATTTCCATCAGAATGAGCAGGTAGAAAATAAAGCTGGTTTAGAAACAGGAGGTCTCACTCTGAGTCTGGTGGATTCTGGGCAAAACATGTTTCTTTGCTATACTTTATAATATTAATATTCAAGTAAAAGTTACTGAAGTAAATGTTAGTAGTTGCTGCAGTGAGCAGCTGCTCTCTGGCGTCACTAAGCTGCTAACGAGGCTCAGATAGAAACCTGACTGACAAGGCAGATTATTGACAACCTTAATTATTAATAAACCAACAATGAACAAAGCTGGAATCCTGTTGGTCTTACAATCTAAAACCAATCTGAAGTAATCGTGTCAGACTCGGATGAGGTTCTGGTCCAGATCGGTTTAACGCATCAGAAGCTGATGATCTGCTTTAACCAGGCGCGGGTTGGATGTCTTCAGTGTCTAGTTGCCTAGCAATGAGCTCTGCTGCCCAGTCCTCAGGTCCAACATGGCGGTTCCGTTCTGGTTAAAGTAACATTACAAAATAGATGGGTCCAGATCTGAGTAAAAACTCAAATCAATGTTGTTTGCTGATTGGCCCCGGGGCCTCACTGGTTTGAACCCCTCTACTGGGACCAGTTTGGTTCTGAGGTCGTTTACTGGTTTTCTGTTGTATATTTTTATAAATATTGTAAAATATGAATTGCTCCACAATGTGGATGATGTAAATATTTCCCAGCAGGTCTTGGTTCTGAGCGTTGGTGACAGGTTAGAACCCTGGCGGTGGTTCTGATTGAGCCGGACCACATCCTGCCCCCACCCTCATCCCCTCAGTGTTTGATTCGTCTGCATGAATGAATGAATTCACTCGTTCATCTGGATTTTCTCTATTTTCCTGGAATGTGACTGCTGGTTAAATATGTTGATAATAAAATCTGTGAAATGTGCTTTTTGTCATTTTTTCTTTGTGGGTTTAACTCTGGTCTGTGTGGCTCTGAGCGCTGCAGAGCTTAAATCTGGGTTCATAACTGAAGGTTGAAAGTTGAAGGTTCAAAACCCGAAAGGGTAAAAACAAACCAAGCAGAGCGCACCATCGCCTGGGTAACGTACAAAGAGGGCTGCGCCAGCAGGGGCCCTCTTTGGAGGTAAACGCTGTCCCCGGACCAACGAACTGGATCGCCATGACGACGGATTACCACCTCCATATTTGCAATCAGAACCGACTGAAGATCCTGGTCTTGAACCTTTTTGGACATTTTGTTCCTGAAAGAAGAACCAAACCGTGGAGGCTGATTTTATTTTTTTTTTTAATTATTTTTTTTTTTTTAATCCAGATTTTTTTTAAGTGGATTTTGTTTGGGAACTTTGTGTTTTTTGTTTTGTTTTTGTTTTTTTATTCATTTGTTCTGAAATGTTGTGTAACCCCTGCTGTTGTCTAAACTTGTTGAGTTCTCTTATCGCTCCAGGCGCCGGCCGCTGAGAAGCTCCCAGTTTTGTACTTAGTGGACTCCATAGTGAAGAACGTTGGAGGAGAGTACCTTGCAGTGTTTGCTAAAAACCTAATCGCTTCATTTATTTGTGTCTTTGAAAAGGTAAAGTCCCGCTAGCTGCCGTGTCTTTAAGCTCTGCCCACATGGCGTCCTGCTGTTGCTTGTTGGTTGTGGGCTGAGGTGGGCTGTGGCCAAGGCACCCAGCTCTCTGTGCTCTGTGTGTAGGTGGATGAGAACACCAGGAAGAGCCTGTTCAAGCTTCGCTCCACCTGGGATGACGTCTTTCCGCTCAAGAAGCTCTATGCCCTGGACGTCCGGGTCAATTCTCTGGACACGGCCTGGCCTATCAAGCCGCTGCCGCACAACTTCAACTCCACCTCCAGCATCCATGTCAATCCCAGGTTCCTCAAGCAGGTGGGTGTGATGCTTTGGCAACGCAGGCTTCTACCGCAGGAACCAGCAGACCTCTGCTCTGATCTCTGCTGGTTCTGGACTGAGAACATTAAATAAATCCTCACTGTCCTCAAATACAAAATCCTACCAAGGTTTCCTGTCCAGGTCCTACTGTAAGTATGTCAGTCAGACAAAACTAACCCAATGTAACTTTACAACAAGTTATAGGAGCTTGTTTTGAGTCAGTAACTAGTGGCAGATTTTTTCACAGGTGAGACATTTCCCATGTTATAAGTGAAGAAATCTCCCAGAATTTTATAAGACTAAAAAGATTAATATCTAGTTGAAAAGTTACTTTTATATTAGAGATATTTTCTGTAGGCATGGGCATTTATTATAGCGTTCATTGTGAAAATAATTCTGATTTTATTGTCTTGATAAATTTGCATTAATGTTGGCAACATTTATATAATTGTAAATGTTTTTACTATTTTCTCCATTGTTCCCCAGATATCAGTAAATATGATTAAAGTTGCAGTTTAAATCACACTTCTTCAAAACGGGAATGTTTTTAAAAAACATTTTTTGTAGCAACTTGAATGCTAAAAATCCTTAAAGACGTAATAGTTTTTCATCATCATTTTTATTGTCATCACAACAGTGCCATAAAATATTATGATGAACGTCCACATCGCCCCAATCTGCAGCAGAAACCAGACAGGAAAGCTTGTTAAGATTTAGTTTTTGCAGTGAAGGTTTGAGTTGGACTTGTCCTGCAGCTCTCATCTGTCCCAGTTCACTGGATCAGAACCAGTCTGACCAGATTCTCAGTGGGAAACAATTCAGAACGAAGCAGCTTGGTTCAGGAAATGTTTCGTCTTCCTCCCCTGATGGAGGAGTTTAGATCTGATGGTTCTTCTGGACCTGAAATGTTTTATTCCAGCTTCACTTTGATCCGTTAACCTCGTGGTTTAATAACATCTGATCTTCCTCTTCCTGCTTGCAGCCTGAGGAAAAGGCCCAAACGCAACCGGTCCCGGCCAAGCCGGCGCCGGTGGCCCCAGCCCCTCCACCACCTCCCCAGGCGGTCCCCCAGACAGCCCCGGCCGGGCTGACCCAGGAGCAGCTGATCCGGCAGCAGCTGCTGGCCAAACAGAAGCAGCTGCTGGAGCTGCAACAGAAGAAGATCGAGCTGGAGCTGGAGCAGACGAAGGCCCAGCTGGCAGGACAGGTCGGCTTATGGTTCTGAACCTCAGAGTTCTGGGTTTGGTTCTGAATCTCAGGCTGGACCAGAGTCTGGATCCAGTTCTGGTTCTGATGTCTGTAAGCAAAGTTTGACGTGTAAAAGCTAACTGAGTGTTTGTGTGTCTGCAGGGTGGCCTGGTGCTGCCACCACCTATCGGGTCAGTTCCGGCCGAGTCAAGCCCGTCTCAGAGACCGGGTCAGCAGGTTCCTCCACCCATCCGGCCCTGGATACCCCCACAGCCTCCTGCCGACCCCAAGCTGTCCACCAGAGACCCCCGTTTGAACCGTAGTGGACCTCCCACTGCACCCCAGCCGGCTGCCAAGCGGCAGAGCCCGCACCCCCCCGGGGCGTCAGCGGCCCCTGCCGAGAAGAGGGCACCAGAGAAACCCCCCCGGCAGGAAAAAAATCGGCCCCCCAGGAAGGACCCACCAGAGGAGAAGCTGAAGTCCAAGTCTCCGTCTCCGCTGGCCAGAGGCCTACAGAGCAGGAGCAAACAGGCAGAGGCGGAGACACCCAAACCCGCCGAGGCCCCTAGGAAGGACCCTCGGCTGAAGAAGCGTCTGTCGGAGAAGCCAGCCGAGGCCAAGGACGACGACGTGAAGGAAAAGAAGCGCTGCGTGGACAAGAAGGAGCGGGACGATGCGCCGCGGAGAGCCGAGCCACCCAGGTCCAACAAGACCAAGCCTCTGAACGGACTGGCGCCCAAACACGACCATCTGGAGCCCGCCGACAAGCCCGACCCAAAGCCTGGCACCGCCACTACCCGCAGGAAGCGCACACATTCCCGGTCCCGCTCACGATCACCCACCAGCTCCCCCAAGAGGAAGGACCGCCGCTCTCCCAAGAGCCATGCCCGCAGCGGCTCCCTGTCACCATCCCACAAGGCTGGGAAACCTCGGAGGGTCCGTGGTGACGACACCCCCCACGGCAAGCCAGGCCGAGATGACCGGCCCGGCGCCAAGAAGGCCCAGTCGGACAGCAGGAGGCCAAAAAGGCTGCAGGAGGAGCGCCGCTCCGAATCCAGGGACTCCCACTCCCCACGAGGTCACGACGGGGTCAAGGAGGCCAAGGATTCACAGCATCGCTGGAGGAGTGGCTGGGAGGAGAACAAACAGTGAGTCCGGCTCAGAAAGCTGACAACTTTACTTCCTCTGGTTTTATTTCCTGGGTTCTTCTGGCATCAGTTGTTAGTTCTGAAACATTCACCCTTGACTGTGAAGAGAAGCAGTGAGTAAATGTGTAAACTGTCTGGTTCCACAGCACAAAGCAGCCTGAGGACTCCCACACCAAGTCTGGACCCCCCCGACACAAACCCCATGGCACCCCGACCCGGCCTGGCACCCCTAGGAACCAGAAGATCCGTCTCAGCGTTGACGCCAACCTACAGATTCCTGAAGTCCTCAACTCCGCCTCCAAGAAGGACCTGCTGAGGAGGGTGCGTTCAGGAACACGTGGGCCTCCCAGCTTCCTGCTTCTGTCTGTTGTTATGGTAACAGTGGTGTTTGTGTCCACAGGCCAGCAAGCGTCTGGAGAGCGGAGAGATTTCCCAGGAGGACTTCCTGAACATGGCACACCAGATCAAACACTTCTTCCAGTACCAGGAGGAGAAGCAGCAGCGCTCGGAGAACTGGGACGAGTCCGGAGACTTCTCCATGAAGAAGCCGTCCATTCCCCGCCCCCATGACACAATGGACGCAGCTGAGCTGTCCTACTACGAGCACAAGTCCAAGCTGAGGAAGACTCAGGTCAACCACAGAGTCACAGGCGAGGAAGGCCACGAGACTCCGGAGGATGTTGGGGAGCCGAGACCAGGAGAGAAACTGGGAGGACGGAGCGGTGGACACCCATACGGACGGCCAGGTGAGCTGGGGAACACCTGGGAAAACACGGACATGCTGCTCTCCTATTGGACAGTAGCTGATGCTTCTGCTAACCTGCAGGTGAACGGAGGAGCAAGGAGCGAGAGGAGGTGCGGACCCCTCTGGCCCCCATGGTGGAGGAGTACAACCACGGGAAAGAGTTCCCCAAGCTGAAGGGGCTCCGCTTCCGCAGGAGGGACCGCCCTGGAGAGTCCAGTAAGTCCAGGCCAGAGGTCAAGGTTAGGGACCAGATCAGTCTGGGTTTCAGGGATTTATGTGTAGAGCAGCACCTTTGGGTGAGGTGGTGGTCCGGGACGTGTTGTGTTCAGGGTGTGCAGAAATCCTCAGCATCCTGTTCTGTCCTGCAGGTGAGCGGGAGTGGACGTCGCCACTGACGGAGCGACAGCTCTACGACGACGAGCACAAGAGTGGCTATGACGCCCCGCGGAGATACGGCCCTGCTGACACACGCCGGCAGGACGGGCCCTCCCCCGTCACTGGGGGCCGCAGGAACTCCCCCGGGCCAGCCAGTCTGGAGGCTCCACCCCCTCGATTTGAGCGGGAGCGCCTGTCGCCTTTACATCAGAAAGACTCAGCAGACATGAGTCCGGTTCCTCGCTTTGAAAGTCCCAACAGCGAGCACTCTGACGAGGGGCCCTTGGATGCCCCCGTTCCTCACCTCACCAGTCTGAAGGGGCCTCCCCGCGGAGGGCCTCTGTCTGGGGTCCGACACAGCGACTCCCCAGGGCACACACCGCCCCATGAAGGAGGACATCCCCCCTCGCGCTACAGTGGCCCTGGGCACATGGGCCCCTCCAGACCGCACCGGCCCGGCTGGTATGAAGGTGGTGGCCCCGGCCGTTTCGAGGAGCCGCAGTTTGAGGGCTCCCACCACCCTGGCCCCGGCAGATTTGAGGGCCCTGCGCACCATAATATGGCAGAGAGGACTGAGGGCTCCGGGCCCTGTGAGGGTCTCCGCATGGCCATGAGAGGAGGAGGAGATGGGCCGTTCGATGGGCCCCCCCAGGGCCCCAGCAGGTTTGGAGGCCCTGTAGGCCAGCAGCAGTCGGTCAGGTTTGAGGGACAGATGGGGGGGCCTGGTCACTTGGAGGGCCCCATGCAGCGTTTCGATGGGCCAGGGCCCTTCAACAACATGGGTCCTGGCCCAATGGGCTTCCAGCAACAGCGGCCCCTCCGCTTTGAGGGCCCCACTAACCAAATGGGTCCAATGAGATTTGACGGCCCCAGTCGCTTTGAGGGCCCTGGACCAGGCCCCAGGTTTGATCTGCCTGGGGGCCCCCACCAAGCGGGACCTCATCAACCTGGGCCCCCACGCTTTGACTATGCTCCTGGCCAGCAGGGTCCGCCCAGGTTCCCCCCCCAGCACAACATCCAGCTGCCCATGCAGCCGATGGCCCCGCCCCTCTATGACGGCCCCATGGGCCCCCAGCAGAGCTTCGGCATGGCCCCCCAGCGGTTCCCAGAACCCATGAACCCTCAGTTCACCCCCGGCCCCAACATGCTGCCGGCAGCAAACTTCAACATGCAGCCGGTCCCGTTCAGCCAGCCAGGCCCCGGGCCCTTCTACAACCCTGCAGCTCCCGCCATCAGCATGCAGCAGCCGGTGAGTCTGCTTCCTGTTCCCCTCTGCTTCCTGTTCCTGTCAGTATTCTTTACTCTCTGTCTGCTGGGCTCATCCTGCTGATTCTGACCTGGTTCTCCTCCCTCAAGGGCTCCATGATGGGGAACCTGAACCAGCCCTACCTGCCTCAGAACCCAGTGCCTTTCGGACAGCAGGGTACGTATTTAAAGCTTGGACCTCTGTGTGAGAACAGGAAGTGATGTCAGGTCTAACAGATGTTGTGTCTGCAGCTGCGCAGGCGGCTCCTGCAGAGAACCACTTCGGTCAGCTGGACGTCAACGACCTTCTGTCCAAGCTCATCTTCAACGGCATCATCAAGCCGCCGTCACAGGCTGAGTCTTCGCAGACCGCCAGCGGTCAGTCAGCCAATCACAAGTTGCTGCCGCTGCCACTGCTCCACTTCAACCCTTCACACCGTCTAAGGTTTCTGTTTCTTTTCAGAGGCATCGTCCACGACAACTGCCCCGACTCCAGCTGTGGAGGAGGAGGAAGAGGAGGACCCGGAGGTGGAGGAGGATGAAGACCTGCCGGATCTGACCAGCTTCAGCATCGACAGCATGAAGCAGTGAGTCACAGATGTTACACTGACCCATCCTTGGGGTTCCTACGGCTCCTGAACGCAGCACAAATGATTCAGTTTGCTCCTATATTCTGACCTCTGACCCCTTCCTGCAGGCGCTATGAGAGCGTGGTGACCAAGCTGTACTCAGGGAACCAGTGCTGCCTCTGCAGCATGCGCTTCACGGCGGCGCAGACCGACCTGTATGCTGACCACCTGGACTGGCACTTCAGGCAGAACCATGCCGGCAAGGTCGCCAGCAAGAAGGTCACACATCGCCGCTGGTACTACAGCCTGACGGTGAGCATGCACACGCACACACACACACAGCCAACAGCACAATCCTGACTGAGCTGTCCACCACCTCCAGGACTGGATCGAGTTTGAGGAGATCGCCGACCTGGAGGAGCGTGCAAAGAGCCAGTTCTTTGAGAAGGAGAACGAGGAGGAGGTCCAGAAGAATCAGGCGGCCGCCAAGGAGAAGGAGTTCCAGAGCGTCCGCGCCACCAAGGACCAAGTGGGAGAGGTGAGCTGCTCAGGCCGGGCACCCGGGGCAGTGCTGACACACCAGCCTTCTCCTGCTGCTAGGTTTGGGTCAGGGCTGCGGCCGGGTTCTGGTCCAGAACCAGGAGGTTTGTGGTGTGGAACCGGTTCTGATGATCCATTTTTCTCCACAGTCGTGTGAAATCTGCCAGGAGCCGTTTGAGACGTACTGGGTGGAGGAAGAGGAGGACTGGTTCCTGAAGAACGCTGTCAGAGTGGATGACAAGGTCAGGCCCCGCCCACTTTGCATATGACCCTTTAACACACTCCGCCCACTTTGCATATGACCCTTTAACACACTCCGCCCACTTTGCATATGACCCGCCCCCTCAGGTGGAAGTCAGAAACTTTCAGGGTTTCATTCTAATATTTGGATCATAATATTAAACTCTTATTTTATTATGATTTTAATATATATAATCTTGATAATTTAATATTTGAATTTTAATATTAATCTTAAAATATCAAAATGGGACTCCTGGTTCTAGAGCCCGGTTCTGTTCAGATTTCAGATGAAGCTGGTGGTTCCTGTCCGGTCTAGGTTTTAGCTCATATACTCTTGAGCCGGTTGATTTCTCTTGAAAATGGTTGATGACTCTTGATTTCATATCTAATCTGGGGAAAAGAATCGGACCCAGAATGCCTCCATCTTTAGAAAATAACATCAATTTTAATTGATGGTTTTGTTCCAGTTTTACTGCCAGTTCTGCTCTGGTAAATGTTGTGTGAATCGGATCAGAACCGTGTGAACTGTGTTTTGTCTCAACAGAACTTCCACCCGGCCTGCTTCGAGGACTATAAGAAGGTGAGTCCAGTCCGTCTGAGTCTAGCCCCTGCTCTTCCTCGTCCTCTTCATCATGCTCTCTCCCTCTCTCGCCCCTCAGACGTCGTCCTACCTGGACGCAACGCCGTCCCCCAGTCGGCTGCTGGCCGAACACCCACTGGGCGCATTCGTCAAGACCGAGGAAGAGGAGGCCGAGACTTCCTGTCAGGTCACTTCCTGTCAGATCAAACAGGAAGTAGAGGCTGACATCACTGTTTCTGGTCAGGAGGAACCAGACTCTGAGGCGCCGGCGGACTCAGCCCGGTCCGAGGACACGGCTTGACGCGGCGCCGCTCCTCTTTGTCCTGACGGGTCGAAGATTTTTACCTCTTGAATACATTTTGGTATTTGGATAGTTGCGGCCGTTTCTGGGCCGCGGTTCTGTTCGCTGCGGTTCTGTTTGCCGCGGTTCTGATCGATTCTGTACGCCACGGCTGTAAATGATTTAATTTATACATTAAAGTATTTTTTGGTAACTCTGGTCTGCAGCTGCTGTCTGTTGCCTAGTTACATAGTTTGATTGTTGATTGGCTGCTCTGGTGAGGAGTCATCACAGGTGTTGAAGGTAAGCATCATCTGATTGGACGACGTCTCGTTTGAGGATCTTTTTACTTTTGTTTTTTCTTCAATAAACGAGTCTGAAACGTTTTTCTGTGTGAATTCTGGTTCTGATCCGACTCGGTTCTGCTGTCATTTAGGTTCAGTCATTAAAATAAAGCTTCAGTGGACTCAAACCTCCCGATTTCCTGTTTTCATTCTCATCCATCATCTAACCCACATGTATCAAACTCCAGTCCTGGAGGGCCGGTGCCCTGCAACTTTTAGATGTGCCTCTGCTGCACCACACCTGAATAGAATAATTAGGTCATCAGCAAGTCTCTGGAAAACTTATCTACACAAGGAGATAATTAAGCCATTTCATTCCAGTGTTTTGTACCTGTAGCACATCTAAAAGCTGCAGGACAGTGGCCCTTGAGGACTGGAGTTTGACACCTCTGACCTAACCACCCGTATCAAAGATCCTGGTACCCTTTCAGGGTTCCCCAGGCATAAAGTCAAACTCCTCCAAGTCTACAAAGCCCATGTAGACTGGTTTGGACCTCGGCACCAGACTGGAGAGCCTGACCCAGAGTTCTCAGGCTCCACTACCTCAATGGAAGTCAACCATCCATTTTCTAACACCCTAGATAGGCATCAGGGTTGCTGGTGCCTATCTCATAGGCAGAGGGAGGCTACCCTCTTGTTTACCCGAGTGAATCCCAACGTACAGGCACCAAGATTGAGGCAACGAGGTCGCCCATGGCTGCCCGGTGCCTCTCACCTCAGCTACCACCCATCTCACACAAACCCCTCCACTGGGTGGATCAGGTGGCTGTCCATGGAGCAAGTCCAAATCATGGAAGCCCATTTCCACCATGAAATAAAACATCAAGGCCCAACAGGAAGTTTAGCAGACAGGAACATAATTATGAGATTCTGGACAATTTCTTCTCAGAGAAACAGAATGACCTTTAATCTCATAATTACAACTTCCTGTTGGGCTTTTATTTTGTCTTCCATGGTGGAAATGACCTTCCAAGCCAAATAAACTTAATTGCCAAAGGAAAGCTGATGCTGGTTTATGTGCAATAAGTTTTCCTTTAATATTAAACATTAAATATGACTAAAAATAGAACAACTGATTTCATATCAAATTTGGGGAAAAGAATCAGGACCAGTTTGGTTCTGGTGTTCTGACCCAGAATGTCTCCATATTTAAAAAATAACCTACATTTTAACTGATGGTTTTGTTCCAGTTTTACTGCATTTCACCTAATGGTTCCGATTGCTGGGTTTCTATGCCTGGACTGTACAACACATCTAACTCTATACGTCTATAGAACATCTGATCCGGTCCAGTTCGAGGAGAACTGAGTGGTTCTGACCCTTTTTCACATTCTGTCTTAAAATCTTTGTTTTTGTTTTTCATGCAACTATAAAAATGATGAAAACAATTAAATTCCTGCTTTAACTCCAAACCTCCCCTGGTTCTGATCTGGTTTGTCCAAAAATGGCACCTTTGTCATGACAACAGGCAGAACTTCCTGTGATCAACTAAAACTCGTCAGATTTAGCTAGGTTAGAATTTATTTATTTGTAAAGTTGATTCATTAAATTTATTTTTTATGATTCATAGAAATCTTTAAATGCATTCATCTAACCTGCAATGGACTGGCGACCCGTTGAGGGTGACGCCGCCTCTCGCTGGAGATAGACAGGCATCTGCACCCCTCCCTACCTAACTAGGGACAAGAGTGGAAGAAAATGATTGGATGGGATTCATCTAACTTCGTCTGGACGGTTCTGGTTCTGGTTCATAGCAGAACCGGGCCTTTCTGGACGGCTCAGCGTCAAAGACAAGCAGCAGCACAGAAAATAAGTGAAATCAGGTTTTTATTCCAGATCCAGAGAAATGCAGCGAGCCGCCACCAGGGCGACGACATTCTAGCATCACTAAAACACGACCAACTTCTCTGCATCAGGTTACAGGAACAACGTAAACAGGCTGAAGATCCAGGTCGGAACCGTCCTGCAGGCTGGTTTTGACCCGAGTTATAGCACACTGAGGAAGTACCAGCTGGTTCTCTGAAACCAGACCTGGTTCTGGTTCTGATCCGTCACCTCCAGAATCGGTACACTCCCAGAACGATGGCGAGGCAGGCAAAGATGGTTGCTGTGAAGGAAACGCAGAAGATAAATGTAAAGCAGCACCGTCTCCGGAACCAGAACCGGAACCAGAACCGGACCCACCTGCCATGTACCGGACCGTCTCCAGCTTCAGAGACTCCAGCACCGTCTTCAGCGACGCCACCTGTAGGTCCATTTTCTTGTTGATCTCCATGTTGTCGTTTTCCAGGTCGGCCTTCTGGAGACACAACGTGATGTCATCAGGAGACAGCCAATCAGAAGCCAGCAGGGTGGACCCACCCACTTCCAGAAGGAACCAATCAGACCTGCAGGTGAGTTACCTTGTGGTAGAACTCTGATGTTGCCTCCATCAGCTTCTTCTCCTGGTCGGTGAACTGAGACAGAGAGCAAGGAGTCTGAGTATTAGAACAAGTCTCGGACTGACCTTCAAGACTGAGTGCTTGAAGATCAGACCGAGTCTGAGTGTGTGACCCTAGACTGTGACTTCTGACCAAGTGTATGTAATATTAAACAGAGTGTGTGTGACGTGAGTCGAGTCTTTCCTGAGACCGGAGAAATGACTCAGGTCTCCTGCTGATTTCTGGATTCAGTGCTGGACTTGTAGACCTGCTGACTCCAGAATCTCTCCTGACCTACCATTTCAGAGGTCCTGCTCCTCTCCAGGTTGATGTCCAGTTTGGTTTCTGCTCTGACTTTCTCACTTTCCTCCTGAAACCAGACGACCTGTTAGCATCTCCACACAGTCGAGTCAGCGTTGAACTCCTCCAAATCCTCCTCACCTTCAGTCTGTTCTGCAGCTGCTCCAACTCTCGCTTCATCTTCTGCAGGAACAAAAATGGGAGTTTATGAACCGCTAACTACTGATTAGCAGGACCGTTAGCAGGTCCAGCAGAGCAGAACCTTCTAACTTCACTACGATCTTTTAATAGTTGCATGTAAACAATAAAGCAGCACAGAATCAGTAAATTCTATTTTTTTAAGACACTATTCCAGAACCAGCACCATGTTGCCATTAGGGCGGCAACATCCCATCATAACAAACACCAGCACTGCGTTACCGTGTTCTCAGACCGCAGGTTGGCGAACTCGCTCTTCTCCAGGATCACCATGTCCTTCCTGATGGAGTCCAGGTGAGCCATGATCTGCTGCACCGCAATCTCCTGCAGAACCACGGTGTTATTAAACATTATTATTCAATGTTTGTCCTGTTTATCTGTAAGCTGATATGACAACAATATGATGTTCTAACTGTGTGGTAATCTAGAAAGAGAATGGAAAGACTTTCTCTTTACACAAACACTTTTAAAGTGCTTGTGTAATAAATGATTTTATTTTTAACTAAGCAACAAAAATATCTGCTACTGCAGCTACAATAATGTTACAAAATGTATTTTTAGCAATTTTGATGTATAGACTCAAACAATATTGTGAAAGAAAAGTCTTGCTTTTAAGGTTTGAGGTAAATTTTTCTTTATAGTTGCACAAAATATGCTTTTCTAACAAATATAACAACATGGCTTGTTATATTTCTGAGTGCAGCTGTAGTTTTATTTTTAAGTTAGAGAAGGATGTAGTTCAGTTTGGTGACCAGCAGTGTGCAGCAACAGATATGAAAGGAGCTCAGCGTCTTTTCGGTAAGAACGTTATGAAGGAAACTTTCCTCAACTTTGAAAGAGCAACTTTTTAAACCTTGCTAACCGTAGCAGCTCTGTGTACCTGCAGTTAGCGACTCATTATAAAAACTCTGAGGTATGAAGTTGTACCTGGTGGGATTTAGTCACCATGTCCTTGTAGACGATGTCCATGTTGGCTGTGGTCAACGTGACCAGAGCTGAGACGATCAGCTCGGCCTGCTGCTTCTCAAAACCTGCCAAAAAAACAACAAAAAACAAAAACAACACAAAAAACTAAAACTGAAAAACTGATTAAAACTAAACCCACAACAAGACTAAAAAAACATAATAAAAACAAGAGAAAATAAGGATTCCATACATCCTCATACAAAGAGCCAATAAAAACATGATTCTGCTTTCCGTAAAACCAAAAATCCCCACAAAGTTCTGCTTCAAACTCATGGACATTTTTTATTCAATAATAAATTAACATTACTATGCTAAAACATCCTAAAAACATTGTTAGTATGTCAAATAACAGCAGTATTGTATAAATATAAAGTCAAGCTAGGGTTTCTAGTTTAAGCTAGCTTTACCAGTGGCTAACTGAATGCTAACACTAACAGAAAACTTTAATTGTTTCTGAAACATGATGAATTTATTCCAAACTTAAGATATAGTTTAATTCACCATAACATGAACAACGAAGACCCAAAATCTGGTTTCCAACAAGGAAGACTGAGATAAAAGGAAAATAATATTGTTTCTGTACAAGCTAACTAGCTTAGCACAGCAAAGTAGGAACAATGCAAAGTTAAAGCCATTTATATTATTACAGTTGGCAATTTATTTAGATTATGAATAAACTGATAATGAAATCATCTTTGTGTTAGCGCTACCGCAGAAGCTAACAGCTGCAGCCCTGTTTGAACTTCAGCCAATCAGCACCAAGGAAAATGAATAGAATGAAAATGTGGAATTTGGCAAAAACTGGAACGGATTTCACGGGATCAGCGGCTCACCACTCTTCTCCAGCTCTATCACCATGGCATGGGAGTCAAAGGTCAGCTTCCTCTGTTCTAGAGGGGTCAGCTCAACCTTCCTCAGGTCAAAGGTCGCAGACGGAGTTCCCACATGGAAACCTAAAACACACACAGCAAACCTGAAGTCCTGACACGGAACAGGAACTGGATGGAGGTGGGCTCAAGTGGAGCACATTTTAACATTTCCTGGACCGTACCCGGGCCGTGTCCTGGTTCTGGGACTGGACCCAGGCTGTGTTCTGGTTCTTGGACCGGATCCGGGCCAGGTTCTGGTTCCTGGACCGGACCCGGGCTATGTTCTGGTTCAGGCTTTGTTCTACTTCCAACCAAAACCATTAAAACCATCAGATTTCTCAGCATTTTACTGGAAATGTTGTTGGTTCTGCTCCA